GCCTTGCCATCTCCAGCTCGTGCCGACGATCAGCCTCCCTCTGCACCGCCTCTCTCTCAGCTTGGTGTCTCTCTCTCTCAGCCTGACATTCCGCCGTTTCTCTGTCAGCCCGGCGTTCCATGAACCGCAGGTATGCCTCCAGATCTGTCTCCATGAGGCATTTCAGGGCTTCCTGCATCTGAGGAGGGTCTCTGCTGATTGCAGGCACTCTGGTGCTGGCGTGCTCAGGCGGTTGTGTGACGATAACATTTGGTGATCTTCCAGTGTCAGTCTCTGTATGCCCATTCTGTGAGGCCGCCTCTGAGCCACTGGAAATGTGGGTAGCGGGAACTTCTTCATGTTCAAGTTCCCCCCGTGTTCTGATATGCTCGGATATCAAACTCCACTAGATCACTAATCAAATCTTCATGATTTTTGCGACCGACATCCAATCCTCGTGAGGTACATTCCGCACTCAATTCACCTTTTCTCATTTTCTTGTAATCTGCTGCACCAGGCGTAATTGCAAGCAAAGATAGAAGAGAAAGTAGGAAAAGAAAGGAGCTGTTGCTATATGTCTCTCTCTCTCTATATATGTAAAATATGCACCGCTTGTTTCTAAGGACTGTTTCCACAAAGGTTACAATCCTTCAGTGCAGAGCCAATTTTTACCACTGCACTGAAGCTCTTAATGCAATTATCCCACGTACACTGCCAACAATATGTCACGGTCGCGGGATCGCCACCCTCAACATGCGACAATCTCACGACCGCGACCAACAATGCGTAACACCCGCGGCGTCAGACCCCAGACCTTCTCACCAAACTCATGACCAAAGGACCGGCCGATCTAGAACCGCGGTATGATGCGTGTAACAATGCCACACTCAGCTGCGCCCTGCACATGATTGTCCAGCTAATGGTCTACAATCTCTGCCTGCAGCCTGAATGCACTTGTTACTGGGTCGGGTTAATCACACAACTAACCCTCTACTGCCACCACCACTTTTTATACAGAGAAAGGGAAAACTCTCTTTATCAAATATACACTGTAATGGTTGAAAAGTCGCCTGTCCAATACGGCCACCGCAGGCTGATTGGGCAGAGGATTAAACAAGCACAGTAGCGTCTCTTCAGAAGGCAGGGATTCGTAAATTGCAATTAAGTGCTTTAGAAACAGTTTAACACTTTCAGAAAGAAAGATTTATTACTCAAGTCAAACAGGTGCAATAAAATATTTACAAAAAAAATGTAACTAGGATATATATTTATATATAAAAAGAAAACAGCACAGTAAAGAGATAACAGGGAGAAGTTAAAAGGTTAAGTTACTTGCCATGTTAAGCCTTAAGGTAAGCAGATCCAAGTTGCAGAGCGAAGGGTCTTTGATCTCCTGCTGTTACGATGTTAAAATTGGGAGATGTGTTTAGCTTAGCTCAGGCCTACAGCCTGTGTTTTTTAAAGTCCCCCAACAAGGGGGGTGGCTCTGAGTAACTGGCCAATACCTGTTTAGGGAGGGATGTCGGGCGGACTCTGAATTAAAACCAACATCTGTCATAATCCATGATATGAAACATAGGGGAAAACCAGATCTGTTAAAAATGTTATCTTGTTTGTGCTTCTGGGGAATGCCTTGAACTCTTGAGAAGGTTCTGCCATCCTTCCCCGAGGTGTGAAATCACACAGGTCCCTTGGACAGAGAGTTTGCTGTCTCTATGGAGGGGCTTTGTAGCGCTGAGCCCCCTGCTGCTCCAGCCTGCCAGCAACTTTTAACACTTACACATCTGTCCCTGTGCCTCTCAGGAAGGGAGGGGGTAGGGAATAAAGGATTGAGGAATACTTCTAATAAAAAAGGGGAACTCCACGTCCATCTCTGATGAGCAAGTTTGCTACAGTCTCCACCTGGTGCTGGCTTCTGGGAGGGTATTTAGTTTCTCTTCTACTGTTCCCTTGTGCTTCAGTGTTTTGTCCTGCTAAGCGGACACTGCTTGCTGTTTATTCCTGAATCTGATTCCTGTCTGAACCTGCCTGTCTTGTACCTGTATCTTGTACCCTGCTCCCTCATATCTGCTACTGTTGTTCCTCATCCCAGTCCTCGTTCCTCCTTCCTGGCATCTCTTTTATTACCCCTTTTATCTGTGTTTTCTGTTTGCTGGTATTTTGATGGATTTTGTTTCACTGGTAATAATCTTGCTTAACCCCTTTACGCCAGCCACACACAAATGTGCAGCCTCCCGGCGTCTGGGCCTAGACGCCGAGCGGCCGCACATTTGCGTTCATGTAACAAAAAACATATGTGCTGAGTGCACTTGCCCTGCGCGCTCCCAGCACACATGTGCGGTACTCACGGAAAGGTCCTGGTCCGCTCTTTCGATCGGGACCTTTCCCGATCATGTGACTGCTGTGACGACGCGTCACGGCGGTCTTATGATCCCTAAACCACACCCCACCCGCCCCGCCTCTCGGCACCTGAAACTCTTAAAGGGCCGGAAGGCACCGGCGGGAAGGGGTTAAAGTGTTACTAAACCCACAACAGTACAATCAGTCTGCATATGCAGTAAAGCATGCTTGTTATACTCACTGTGGAATCTAAGGGGTTAATCCTCTGCATTGTGTAAAAACGCGGTTTGAACCTGTCTTCTCTGATCCTCCTCTTCTTCCAGTGTGGAGTCACTCTGCACATGCTCAGTTTGGGGTGTATTGCTAGACAGGTTTCCTTTGGGGGGGGGGGGAGTGCATGTGATCAGAACAGGGCCAATCAGCACTGTCCCGACAGAGGTCAGGGGTCCTGCATACACCTAGAGCAAAATTAAAACTCCTCCTATAAGCTTTAACGTGCTCTGCTGGACACTGATAGAAGTCACAAGACTGCTATATACTGCTGATATGAAAAAGGTATATAGCAGTTTATACTATTTACTAAAATTATTGGATTTCCATGTTCTGTGTACTGAGGGAGACCAGATATAGTGAATGCAGGGTCCGGGGAGAGTGGATATAGTGAATGCGTGGTCCGGGGTTTAGTAACACTTTAAATCATATATAGTCTGGTCTCAGTTTCCTAAGCACAAGGGAACAGTAGAGAAGGAATTAAATACTCTCCCAGCAGCCAGCATCAGGTGGAAACTGATTACTGGGATCTGCTGGACATTGGGAGACACCCACTGGTGGACACCGCCACTACAAAACTCCACCCAGGGGACCACAGTGCCGCCTGCAGGTGATTCAGGTCCTGGCACTCTCTGTACTGATAAAAGTAAGTGTCTTTGCGGCTCTCGTGGGAGGAGCATGTAAAAAAATAAATCTCTTTTGCAGTTATTGTTTCAAAATATTTATTATATTTTAAGTATCATCTTTCATTTTAAAGATAGGGACAACTTTGTCTTGTCTAGCAAAAGCTTCCCAAATTAGTGGCTTTGGGAGAAATCTGAAGCTGCTACAGTAGACTCAGGTTTTGATGGTCTGAATGTCTACGAACAGTCTGTGATATCAAACTACTTCCCCAGCCTAGGTTGGGTGCAGAAGCCCATCTGGTGGGCAGGGATTCATCGGGCTTTCAGCCACTTTCTGGGGGGATTAAATTAGGTCACAGGGTCCCCAGTACCTGCCAGCAAAATTTGAAGCAGCTTCCTCATACAGAATCCAGACGTCACCTCACACGGTCACTGGAAGTGTTCCTCATAAAGTCTACATTGTGTACCTCCCTCTCTACCTATCAGTTACATTGAAATTTCTAAGGACGGCTTAGAGTGGCTTTCCATATGAAGAATCTGCAATGGGTGTGACTGGAGGGTTTCTGTTCTGCCGTGAGTGCTTGAAGAAGGCTCATCCCTTGCGTGGTCTCTCGCAGATGTGGCGTTGATGTGCTCCTTCTCTTGTGATAAGCTGGGGTTCCCAGAAAACAACCAGTTTCCAGAGGCAACTGAAGGTGGATCGCCTGACTTGAAAGATTGGTCAACGTAAAGGTTCAATGGGTGGTGACTGAGTTTGCAGCGGAAGGGAGGGTGTAGACGTTCTGGAGATTGGGGGGAATTGGGTTATGTGTGCAAAGCCAGTGAATCCTAGCTTACATTGGAAAGGATGATGGGCATTACCTAGGGCTGTCTGCATGTAAGCGAAGGAATAGGAATGGCCATTGCTTGCATAAAGACTGAGGGCTCCTGAGAGCAGTACCGAGGAAGGGTGCTGTGATGTTTTTCCGGAAGCTATCTACAGCCCCTCCCACCAGTCATGATCTGCCTGCATTGCATAGAAAAGCTCAGAGGGCCAGCAATGGTGTCACAGGGTCTAAAAAAAAAGTATGTAATATATGTTGTAAATGTAAAATGTTTTATTCAAACATTTCATGAACATGTTGATGGGGTGGGGTGGAGTAGGATCCAGAGAAGGCAAAATAAAAGCAGATTAAACTTCAGTTCAGCTTTAAGCCGTTGCACCAAATGAGATTTTTTGGGGAGATCAGTTAGAATTTGTCCAACCTACTGAAAACAATGCACCGGCTGAATGGCTGGTGTCTTACGCCAACAGCTATAATGCAAGTCGATGGAATGAGGCTGAGTTGCATCCAGAGCTCCCTCTAGTGGCTAATCTGCAAATTTCTATATTTAATACAATGCAAAAAAAAATATGGAAGAGAAAGCATGTACAGAAGCAAACACTATAAAAAGCAATACGTTAAAATATGGGCTTGCTGACAATATAATTTACTCTCCCTTTTTAAAGTTCCTAGCCTGTGGTCCACGCTTTGTGGTTTTGGCAGCCACATTGCAAAAAGGCATTGATGTATGAAACATCATTTCATGTTTTTCTCCTCACGTTTGGATTGTGCAAAGATGATGTTAAAATCCACGGTGTGTGGGCAATAGTCTTGGTACCATCATGGTGCTGTTGTTTAGACTGAAGAGTTGGTCCTCACCATAATCACAGAAAGGGTTGCCCTTTAAAACCACGAAAGAGGATCCATTATATACACAAGTGCTGCTTAGTGAAGGCATTTTCATAGTCCTTGTTATGGATTTAGTTCAGAGAGTCTCATGTGACATGTCATAGCTGTCTTTCTCACCACTGGAAGACCTGGGGTCCTCCTCCGGCAGTTTAGAGTGAATCTGTCGGTGTTTCATTAGAGCCGTCTTCCTCCGAAAGCACTTCCCGCATTTGGAGCAGCAAAAGTGCTTTCGGCTTGTGTGTACCGTCATGTGTCTTGTAAGACTCGCCTGCCGGTCAAAAGATCTCCCGCATTCCGGACAAGCGGGGGGCTTGTCCCCTGTGTGGTATTTCCAGTGCTTGTTAAGAGCAGACTTGCTGGTAAAACCTTTGCCACATTCAGGGCAGCAATAGGGTTTCACCCCAGTGTGCAGTTTGGCGTGTACGTTCAGGTTGGACTTCGAGGAAAACCGCCCCCCACATTTACTGCAGATAAACGTCTGTTCTTTGGGGAGGCCTTTCCCACCGTGAGTGCTTGAAGAAGGCTCATCCCTTGCGTGGTCTCTCGCAGATGTGGCATTGATGTGCTCCTTCTCTGCGGCGTGCCGTTGGTGATGGACAGCAAGCAGCGAAGCCTCGCCAAAAGCCTCTCCGCACTCCCAGCACTTGTACAGCTTGTCTCCAGTGTGCGTTTTCATGTGCATCTCCAGGTTCGAGATGATGGAATAGCATCTTCCACATTCGCCGCAAACAAAAGGTCTTTGTTTTGTGTGCATAATGGGTGTGGGATGACTCAGCCTAGGAGGAGAACATCGGCCAGATTCGGAGCAGGAAGGTTCTGTTATGCTAAGACTTCCCTTTTTGCATGGGTTCGAGTCCTCCTTAATAGGAGTAGATGTGTTCTGGATAGATCCTCTTGGTTTGAGATTGCAGCTTGAGGGATGGTTCCCTTCACGTGAAAAGGGTTCCTCTTTAACATGAGTACGAGGAGAACGGGTGTGGTCCTCCTTAATATGAGGAGGTGTGGAATGCGTATGATATGACGGTGTTAAACCTTCATGGTGGGGAAAATGTCCTGGAGCTGAGAGGCTTTTCTCCCTATCATGAGGAGTTGTTGATTGTGTACAATATGTGGATGCTGAAATTCTAGGATGGGGATGATGTTCTACAGCTGAGGGGACTTCCTCCTTAACAGCAGTGGTTGTAGATGGCACACGATGAGTAACCTTCAAGATGTGTGGAAGATGTTCTACAGCTGAGACCTCCTCCTTAACATCAATGTCTGTAGATGGCACATGATGAGTAGCTGTTAAGACGTATGGAAGATGTTCTACAGCTGATGGGGGCTCATCCTTAATTTCAGTAAGGGTAGATTGTGTTAGTGTGGAGATCTCAGGATGTGGAAGGTGTTCTACTTTACAAGAAAGAGGTCCCTCGGTAATCTGAATTGAAATATATTGTATTTGTTCTGCAGGTGTGGAGATATCAGAGTGTGGAACATGCTCTGAGTAAAGGAACCCTTGGCTAGGTGTAAGTTGAGTAAGATCGGTGGATAAAGACACATCAGGGTGGGGGACATGTTTAGCCGAGAGAGAATCCTCTTTAAGATCAGATTGTCCATGATGGGTGGTTGTGGAGATGTGCTGAAGATGTTCCATTTCCCCAGATGGGAGTTGTTCCTCCATAATCTGAATGGATATGTATTGTATGTGGTCTGCTGGTGAAGGGATATTTGAGAGTGAAGAAGGTTCTTCAGCTGACAGTGACCACTCCTTAATGGGAGAAGATGGCGACTGTGTATGATGTATGGGTGTGAAAATGTTGGAGGTGAGATGTTCTTCAGCTGTGAGGGTCTCCTCCTTGGATGAGGAAGGCATACAATGTGTGGAGATGCCAGAGATCGGGAGGTGTTCCTCACGCGAGAGGTGCTCCTCTATGAGGGGAACTGGCATATCTTGTACAATGTTTGTCACAGTGATGTCAGAGTATGGAACATGTTCTTCCTCTTTACATGATGTCTCAGTGTTCTGTTCCTCTGATGGTGAACATTTGGCAAGGAAGGGATTGATAAGAATGTTACTATCTTCATTCATACAGTTTGGTGATGGAGAAATAAGGGGGTCGAATCTTCCAGGCGATAAAGCTGGAAGAAAACATGGTGGTGAGATGATGCGAACACAGGGACAGAAACACAAAATGCAAACCTAAAATTCTGAGATGGAGACCTTCATTGTTGTCTAAAATAATCATACCAGTTGATTGGTCTTATGCTGAGACAGACCAATGTATTAGCAAGTCTCCGAAGCTGTATGTTTAACAGTGGAATGTTCTATTGCATGGGAAGGAAATTAAAAAAGAAAAGGAGAATGGAAATTACCTCCTCTTAAAAAATGTGGAAGACAATGCCTTTTTTTGAGACAACTTTCTCATTGGTTCCTAAGGGTCTTTGATAGCAAACAAGCCTCATACAACTGAGAATTGTGATCCCATATCTTACCCGGTGATGTGAGGGGCAGCTGATCCTCCTTCATGACGTCCTTGTAGAGATCCTTGTGTCCTTCTAGATATTCCCACTCCTCCATGGAGAAATAGACAGTGACATCCTGACACCTTATAGGAACCTGACACACACAATGATACAGTCACCATCCAGACACATCCCTTGTCTGTTACTGGAGAATGTCCCAGAATTCCCGGCACCGCTCACCTCTCCTGTCAGCAGCTCCATCATCTTCTTGGTGGCTTCTAGAACCTTCTTGGTGTTGCTTGTCTCCAGTGTCCTTTCTTCAAATGAACGATCACTGAAGTCCTTCTTGATGGGTCCATAATTCTGTGTGACATTAACGAATAAAAAATTAGCTAAGAAACATAAACCAACATGGAGATGTTGAGCTGTCAAGATGTCATGTGACCTCCCAGAATTCTCCTCACCTCTCCATTCAGGTCTGTGTTTTATTAATATAGATAAGAGATGTCATGTGACCTCCCAGAATCCCCTCTCCTCTCCGGTCAGGTCTGTGTTTTATTAATATAGATAAGAGATGTCATGTGGCCTCCCAGAATCCTCCTCAACTCTCCGGTCAGGTCTGTGTTTTATTAATATAGATAAGAGGTGTCATGTGACCTCCCAGAATCCTCCTCACCTCTCCGGTCAGGTCTGTGTTTTATTAATAGAGATAAGAGTGTTGTGTGACCTCCCAGAATCCCCTCTCCTCTCCGGTCAGGTCTGTGTTTTATTAATAGAGATAAGAGTGTTGTCATGTGACCTCCCAGAATCCTCCTCAACTCTCCGGTCAGGTCTGTGTTTTATTAATATAGATAAGAGATGTCATGTGACCTCCCAGAATCCTCCTCACCTCTCCGGTCAGGTCTGTGTTTTATTAATAGAGATGAAAGAGTGTTGTCATGTGACCTCCCAGAATCCTCCTCACCTATCCGGTCAGGTCTGTGTTTTATTAAGAGATGAAAGTGATGTCATGTGACCTCCCAGAATCCTCCTCACCTCTCCGGTCAGCAGGTAGATGATCTCCAGGGTGAGGTCTAATATCCTCTCAGTCAGGTGACTCCGGCCCATCTCCATCGTTACGGTATCTGGTGTCTGATGTAGGGAGGACTGTGGCAGCATGGCATTTCGAGGGATACTCCTTCCTCCAGGATACAGATGACCAATATTAGGAACAACACCTAATAACGGTGGAACGCATAGAACCATTAGACACCCGATGGCGATCCATACCCTTCAAATATCTAATATTACAATCATATGACATAATGTTAATATGAAACAATATATTTAGGGATATGTTCACTAGATGAGTATTATATAACAGGATAAAATATGTATATAGGGACTCTGGCACCCACAGATAATAAAATTAGCCCCACACCTTCAATAACAGCCACCTCAAAAATGAAAGCTCTGTAAAACCGGAAATAGCTTTCCCCCCTTCCATCTTTGTGCTCCCTATTACACTTCCTACGTTTGCGTTCCACACTACTTCCCGGTGATGCGTTCCACCTGCCATGAGCTTTGTTCCTTGTTCAGGATTTATATTGGCGACGAGCGCCATCTATTGTCCATTTGTGATAACTGCAAGCTACATCCCACCGGCCACGGTTTACGCCCTTACCAGACGGTGGAAATCATCGCCTGTTTTTTCTTTCCCTTTGTGCCCCTCTGAATGCAATATACTGGCCGGAGACCTGGGCATTCCGGTGGGGGAGGGGGGTAAAATGGAAGCGGGCGGTACTAGATAATTGCAGATACATAACCAGAAAGTGCCCTGGAATCCAGCAAGAGGAAGTCAGGTGGAACGCAGAAAGGAAGAACTTTATTGACAACATCCCGTGCAGACAGAAACAGTTTATGTTCTGTTAGGAGGGACAGTGACAGCAGGTAATGGGATACATTGTGACCTGTCCATACATTGTTATTATGTAACACTTTTATTATTATTTTCTAGGAGCCTGGAACCCTGATTTCAGTATAGATCTCCCTATATTGATATGTGCTTGTATCATATATGTATTAATAAGTGTTTGTGGGGGGGAGGGGACATTAGAGTGTACATTTTTTAGAGTGTACATTTTTTGTTTATTAAAATCTTGCAAACAAATAAGCTCCTGTGGTGCAGAGACTGATGAGACTGGCTCAGTGATCTCTGTACAACACCATGATATATGTCACAGCTATACAAATGTATAGTAATAATAGTGTGTGACTGTGGGGGAGGGGACATTAGAGTGTAAGCTCCTCTGGTACAGAGACTGATGTGATTGTGGGGGAGGGGACATTAGAGTGTAAGCTCCTCTGGTACAGAGACTCGCTCAGTGTTCTCTGTACAGCTCCATGGTATATGTCAGAGCTATATAAATATATAATAATAATAGTGTGTGACTGTGGGGGAAACATTAGAGTGTAAGCTCCTCTGGTTCAAAGATTGGCTCAGTGTTCTCTGTACAGCACTGTGGTATATGTCAAAGCTATATGAATAAGAGAGTATGATCATTGTTATGTAAACAGTTACTGTATTGCACTTGCTGGTGTTTTTTAATAAGCTGCGTACAGCAGACTTAGAATGAACCTGCAGTATGAAGTCTGAAAATGATAACTATTGATAGTCTTTTCATCTGCTTGTTTATTTTAATCTACAGTAGAGACGTTGCTCTCTAGGACATCAGGTTCAAGTCACTGAGAATGGATGAGGAAGAGAATCACAAGACCCAGAAGATACTGGACCTCACCCTGGAGATCATCTACCTGCTGACCGGAGAGGTGAGGAGGATTCTGGGAGGTCACATGACATCACTCTTATCTCTATTAATAAAACACAGACCTGACCGGAGATGTGAGGAGGATTCTGGGAGGTCACATGACATCACTCTTATCTCTATTAATAAAACACAGACCTAACCAGAGAGGTGAGGGGAATTCTGGGAGGTCACATGACGTCACTCTTATCTCTATTAATAAAACACAGACCTGACCGGAGAGGTGAAGAAGAT